GATCAAATCCCCTCCCCCACCTCACGGCACCATCGGACCCACGTTAAACGCACGACATAGCACCGTTCCCGTGTTTCCCTCTACCACGCTGGGAAAACTTCTCATTTCCACTCTACTAGCCACACCATTTTTTTTTTTGCCAGGCCCGCACGCCATCTTGTCGGGACCCCATTTTGATGCCCCTCCCCCGAAAGCCACCAGACAATAAAATCGCAGCAGCCAATCAGAGCTCAGCTTCCCCCACCCCTCCCCCTGACCTAAACGACATAAAAATGAGTTTCAATAAACTAGTCCGAATTAGTTTCTTCTCGTCACATCGTTAGTTTCTTCTTGCCACATCTAACAACTTACGGAGAAAAATGTCGTTACGTGAAGTGATTATTAAATTTTTCAACGTAGGTTGCGTGATAAACCGCGAATTGCGGTTGATAGATTATATGTGTTTATTAAGTGAGGCCCGAACAAACAATTTACAAACGTTTTGGTTATTCTGTGAACGGTACTCCAGTGCCATGCTGAACATGATGTTCCAAGCTGGCTATTGTGACGAATATAACAGTTTGAGCGATATAATAGCTCTAGTGATGCTGACGCGACATCATTTCAATTATCCGGAGGAAGACGGGGACCATCACAGGAACGAGTTCTTTGTATCGCGAGGGATAGGTAAGCATCAACAATTGTATATATATTATCAATATGCATAATTAAATATTATTAAATTACTAAAACGTAATGTCTTTCAATATAGACATTCATCCAGTCGCTGTATTACAAATGCTCTTGGGTCAAGATCGCCTGAGACGTGCTCGGGAGGAGGAGGAGAAGGAGGAGGTGGGGGAAAGAGCAAGACGTAAGTAGTTGTAATTAAAATTAGAAATATTATACAAATTTAAAATATTAAATTTAAAATATTAAATTTATAGAGAGGCGACGGCTGGATTACGAAAATGACGTGGAGGTGATTGACGTGGAAGAGGAGGTGGAGGTGATTGACCTGGAAGAGGAGGCGGAGGAGCAGATCGCCGATGAGGAGCAGATCGACGACGAAGAACGATGGATCCGCGGTCTCGAAGAAGAAGTGGAAAACCTGGATTGGGTGGATGAAATATTTCACCCAGCAGAGGATGACGAAGACAGCGGCTTCGAAAACGGTAAGAATGTTTTATTGTGATTTTTAAATCTCACGTATCTCAGAACATATTCTAAAGTGTGATTTTTTTTCTAGATATTCCATCCCCTCGAGCTCCTTCGCCGGAATATTAGAGGAATACTAGAACTATGTCGCCGGAATATTGAAGCGAAGAGTAATAAATGGAAGATGTTCCACTTCAAACAAGAATGGATATGTGGTTTCAACACGATGGATGCCCAGCGCATTATTCACGAATATCTCAAGAAGATTTGAATCGAAACTATCCGGGTCGATGGATTGGACGAGGAGGTCCTCAAAATTGGCCCGCACGTTCACCCGATTTGACTTCTGCCGATTTTTTCCTGTGGGGAAGGCTAAAAGAGAGAGTTTACATGGATGTACCAACAACCCCAGAAAATATGCAGCAGCGAATTATCAATGAATGTGCAAACATTAGCGCAGAGACACTTATAAATGTCGGATTGTCTTTCAGACACAGAGTTGCAATGTGCATTAGAAACAACGGACATCATTGTTACATATGTAACAACTTGTGTTTGTATAAAAAATTGTATTTAAAATATTTAATTAGTGTAATTATAAAATATATTTCGAGTTGACTAAGAACAGTCGAAGAAAACTCATCTGTTCCGTTGACAAGTAGTATATACGCCATGTCAAAATTGACGAATTTAATTCCGAACAACTCATCCTTCCAAGGGTCGGGTCTATATGAAACAAAAAGAAATCATCCAAATGTTCCAGAAGAAAAACAGAGAAAAAACATTGCAGAAAAACGAATGAAAAAATTAAGGAAGGATCTGAATATTGCACAACGTAATGACAAAACATCAGAAGTACCAATACCTATGGAGTGAGAGCAAATAACAGAAGACCCAAAAGACCTTATTGAGGAACGATGGATCCGCGGTCTCGAAGAAGAAGTAGAAAACCTGGATTGGGTGGATGAAATATTTCACCCAGCAGAGGATGACGAGGACAGCGGCTTCGAAAACGGTAAGAATATTTTATTGTGATTTTTAAATCTCACGTATCTCAGAACATATTCTAAAGTGTGATTTTTTTTTTAGATATTCCATGCCCTCGAGCTTCTTCGCCGGAATATTAGAAGAATACTAGCGAGACATTCAAATTACTTGTTACCCCATTCCGTACCTCCACACCCTATCCTTTGGTTCCCGAAAAATTTTTATCTTTTCTTGTTCAATTAAATCCAAGAGGTTTGGACGTAACACCCTCTACGAAAAATTATCGCAATTATTACATAAAAGGAACAACTTAGTACTGGCAACGCAACATACCTCTTCTACACATTCCTATACTTTCTAGTTTGTAAAGAAATTGATTTATCTTTTTCTTGTAAGCGGTTATTTTATGTCCACATTTTTTTTTCAATATTCTATTTTACGCTGTAGTTTTACAGCTTTGTATTAATTATTATACTCATATAGTTTTTAAGTTACATTGTTTTTAAGATAACTTATGGATGCACAACTCTGCGAGAAGGAAAATGATTAAAAAATTGTATTTATGCGTGATTTCTGAGTTTCAACGCTCATGTGAGCGTTATATAAATGTATAAAAAAGGATAAAAGCATGTTTGTGATTACACGCGTGTATTTTTTTAAGACAGTAATGTTTTAAGGCAGTAAATAAAAAATAGGAATGACACATTCCTATACCTCAAAGAAATCGAAATAGACCTCATTTTCCTAAATATAAGACCATTCCTAAGGGGGATCCACGTAGGTTCGCATACAAACTCCGTCTCCTATTTGGAATCGGATTCCCCATAGAACTTCCTCTCAATTATCCTATCCTCCCTCCTTCTAATATTCCATAAAATTTCACACAATTAATCTCCGACCCAGGGTAAATTGCTTAAATACATTGACCAAAAAAAATGAGAATTTTAATACGCATAAGAACGTAATATGAGCTATCGGCTAACACTTTTTTAGCAACAAATTCGTTGTATACACTTCTATCAACTATGCAAGAGCATGACACATAGAAGTTGAAGTATGTAAAGCCTAATTTTTTATTTTTTATTTTCAGGACTCGCGATTTTTTTGTGCCAACCTTAAAGTAAATAGATCGTCGTCAGTAATGTCTCTAGCGAATCAAGAATTATGAGACATCATTAGATTTCGTGCCTGGAAATAGAAAATCATGTCCGAATTGCAAAATTTTTATTTTTCTCGACCTGCCGTATTTCCGCGCATAATCTTAAAGTGCGTTGCAATTGGGTCAAAACGCGATTTTAACACTTTAACCGATAAGAGACATTCATAGAATTCGTGCCGGGGCATAGGAATATCGCGTGAGAATTGCGGATTTCGAAAATTTTTATTTCGGGATTTGCGATTTTTAAGCGCCAACATTAAAGTTGCGCTGCATCGTCGTCAATAATAG